CGGCCAGGGTGGCCGGCGGGGCTGGGGTGTGCTCCAGCGCGGGGCGCCCGGGCAGAGTGGGGCCCGGGTGGAAGCCAGAACGCGAGCGCGGGGCGGTAGGGGGCCCGCGGGGACTGGGGCCGCGGGAGCGGGAGGCCTCTGGCTCGACCTGCAGCGGTGCAGCCTGCCCCGGACGGTGGGCGCGGATCGGGGGCCCCGGGCAGAGATGGGGGGCTGGAGCCGCGGCCCCGAGTGGAGGGAGGCCCTGCCGGGAGCGGGGTGTCAAGCACTGAGGGGCGCCCAGGCATTGTGTGGAGGAGAGTGGGGTGCAGGAGGGTCGGGGGTCGACTCCACTTCCGGGCCCCGGGCCGGGCTGCGGGGTCCACGCAGGCCCGCGTGCGAGTCCCAGCACGCGTGAGCGCGCAGGCCCTGCGTCCCCGCGCCGAGCCCCCAGCCAGGCCCGGCCCCTCCGCCCGCCTCTTGGATTCGGCGAGCGCTGGTGCCCCGGCGCGCACACCAGGGCATGTGCAAACGTGTGCAGACGCCGGGGCGCGGAGGCGGGCAGGCAAGCGGATCCGGGCGTTTTCCTGGACGTCCCCTCTCTGCGCCTCCGTTTCCCCACCTGTAGAATGGGGTACGGGGGCCAGGGAGCGGGTAAGTTGGGGCGCCCCGGAATGTGGAGCCTCTGCTCCCTACTCGGGGCTCCCTGCGGTCGGGGGATAGCCCCGACCCTCTCCCTGGCACTCGAGGCCGGCTTTTTTAAAGCCACCCTGAGCTCTTGCAAGCAGCCTTTCGCTGTCAAGCCTTTGCGTGTGCGGTTACCTCTGGCCAGTGCCCCCTCCTGTCCCCTGTGAGGACCCGCCCTCTGGGAAAGCACCTCCCCCACCCCCGACCTCTCAGGAGAGCTGAGCCTGCAGGGCCCAGGCTGGGAACGCGTCCGTGCGGGCTCCGTCTCCCCAGCTGGGGGCTCCCTGAGAGTGATCGTCGCCCCGCATCCAGCGGCCGCCCCCTTGGCAGCCGAAGTGCCCTCCTCCCATCCACCCTCTCCTGGCTCCGTGTCTACCCTGGAGCTAAGGCCTCCTCGGCCTCCCACCGACCCCCTCATGTTTTGAACACCTACTGTGGGCCCTGCGCTGAGCCGGCCGTTGACCCCCTGTCCACTCCTCCCCTGCAGAGACCAGAGATCCGTTTGCTTGGACGGGCCTCTGGGCGTTTGGCTGTGCAGGAACCACTGCTGGACCTCCTTTGTGCCCCTGCTGCCTCCTCCTGTGCTCTGCTGGCGCGCCCTCATCGGCGCTCCCACAGCACCCTGCGTGTCCCTGTCGCGCCTGCCCACTCTGGGTATGACTCTCTGGCCATGTGGCCGCTGCCTCCTCTCATCCATCCTGGGCCCTGAGGTTAGGGTCTGGGTTTTTGAGGCCTGGCTTCCTAGCCCACTGAGTGGTCCAACAAAGACCTCCCTGCTCGGAGCCTCAGTCTCCCCATGGCTGACGGGGGCAGTGAGCAGCTCTGCCCCCACACCCTGAGCGAGGGCTCTTTTCGAACCCACTTGGCAGCTGGGGGGAGGCCAGAGAGGGGCAGGGACTGGCCGAGGTTACCCGGTGAGTCAGGGGATGCCCGCCCGGGGTTGGGCCCATCTCTGAGTTGGGGGTGGGAGGAGCCCAACCTTGCTGAGGCTGCCCTTTGGTCTCCCCTAGGTCGGCGTCCCAGCAGAGCATGGTGACAGCCTGTGTCCTCGGCCCCCTCGTCTGGCGCAGCCGGAAGAGCCGCCAGCCTCAGGAGCCGATGGCCCCTCATGGGAGGGAGTGAGCAGCCTGGCCCGGCCCTACAGACTGAGGGGGGACGCAGCAGCTGAGTGACCTGAGACCGCGCTGCCGACCCCCTCCCACCAGTTGACGAATGGTGGGCGGAGCAACGAGTGACCCTTGTCAGGGTCGTGGAATAATGGTGGGAAGCAAGGCGTGAGTGTCCCCCATGGTCACCTGTTAACTTCTTGGTGGAAATAGAGGTCTGAGCACCCCAAGCCAGCCCAGTGGACCCTCCCGGCCCCTGCCCTGCTGATGGGGCCACTGGGGCCCTGAGCAGCCGCCTGACCATCCCCACCACACCCTGCCCGGCCATGGCTGGCGCTGAAGGCTTCCAATACCGTGCACTCTACCGGTTCCGCCGGGAGCGGCCGGAGGACCTAGAGCTGCTGCCGGGCGACGTGCTGGTGGTGAGCCGGGCAGCCTTGCAGGCACTGGGCGTGGCTGAGGGCAGCGAGCGCTGCCCGCAGAGTGTGGGCTGGATGCCTGGCCTCAACGAGCGCACACGGCAGCGTGGTGACTTCCCCGGCACCTACGTCGAGTTCCTGGGACCCGTGGCCCTGGCCCGGCCTGGCCCTCGCCCCCGAGGCCCCCGGCCACTGCCCGCCAGGCCCCGAGATTGGCCCCCTGAGCCAGGTGAGCAGGAGGTAGGGGCCCTGGTAGGGGTGCGGGTGGAGGGGTCCCCTTGGACCCTCAGTTTCCTCTTCTTTCGAGTGAGGCAGTGGTGCCTCTTCCAGCGGAAGAGGAATAAGGACATTTGGTCGGTCGACAAGTGTTGACTGCACTGCTGTCAAGGGTTGGGCACAGGTCACAGGGACACTGGGAACACAGCAGTGGACACAAAGCCTGGCCCTGCCCTCATGGGGTTTCTGGGTCAAGAAGTGACAAGAATGTGATTAGGTGACAACAAATGCTGTGAGGAAGAAGCCTCTCGTGGGGAGAGCTGGAAGTGAAGGGCTCCAGGCAGCGGGCACAGCAAGGGCAAAGGCCAGGAGGTGGGAATGTCATGGCAGGGTCCAGGAACAGCCAGCAGGCAGAGCGAGCAAGAAGGGGCTGCCAACAGGGACGGAGCCTTGGAGACTTCATGCGAGTCGCTTTGAAGACAATACTCCTCCCTGGTAGGATTCAGAGGCTCAATTTAGCTTCATCCTGTGGTTTGCCGACAGGGTCCCTTGAGGAACCCCCTTTGTTACCCCGATTTTACCCGGTTTCCAAACTGAAGGGAGCCACAAGGCCGAAAGAGGGTGGGATGCTCAGTCGAGGCCACGCAGCACAGTGGGGGGTGAGGACCCCACATCCCGCCCCACAGACGCTCGGCCAGCCCCACTGCCAGGGGTGTGCAGGGAGTGGAGAACGGAGGACACCAAGCACGTGCTGAAGCCGCTGGGCAGGGAAACCGAGGCACAGGGTGTGGGGAGGGGCTGCTGAGTGCTGAGCACCCTGTGTGGTCTGCTCCAGCCCCCCAGCAGCCCGTGAGGCCCCGTGTACAGACGGGAGGCCACAGTGCACAGTGCCACTCACGTGGGTCACTCACCCATTAAGGCCAAGGACCTGGAGGCACCGTGGCCACGACCGATGGCCTGCCTGGTTTTGTGCTAGAGGGACACTGATGCCCAAGGGTCAGGCCTGAGTCCCACGGCCTGGGGTGGACGGGGGTGCTGAGGCGGCGTGGCACTGGCTTGGGCCTTCCTTGCAGCATCTGGCGTCTCCGGGGCCCGGCCTGCGTCCTGCCTCGGCCTGGAGGAGGCCCCATCCGGGCTCCCAGCCAGAATCTGCCTCTCCCCCTGGTAACAGCCGCCTCCCTCCTCTGCCTGGCCTGGGTCCAGCCACCACACGTCCCCACTCAGGGCAGCCGCCCGGCCCTGCTCTCCAAATCTTCCAGAGCTCTGTGCCGTCGGTTGGGGCCGGCCGTCTCCAGGCCTCAGTTTCCTCATCTGGAAACGGGGAGGACAGGTCTTGCGCCTTCAGGCCCGGCCCCTCTGGGACGCTGAGACCACCGAACACGCTGGGCTGCCCGCGACGCCTCCATTCAGCCCCTCGCAGGGAGCTGGTGCAGACGCAGTGTGGCCCGGGCCTCCTCGTGGCTGTGCACCCTGGGGGCGGTCGCCCCCTCTCTGAGCTTTAGTTCCTCGTCTGTAAAACGGGGGCCGCCTGTTCTGATGCGACCGCCCTCCCTGTTTTGCAAACTGGTCACAGGCAATCTCAGAGTTGAGTTCCAGAACCACGGCCACCGCCCCCCACCCCCACCCCCTGCCAGGCCTTCACCCACCTCCTCTCCCCTTGTTCTTTGACTTCTTTTTTTGGCGTTTTCGACGCAGCTGGGCCTTTTTCCAGCTTACGGTGCCACCTGGCGCATCACTCAGGGAGGCCCTGCAGGCCCCGGCTTGCCCCTGCCATGTGCCAGGGCGTCCCTGCCGAGGGCCAGAGCGCATCAGATGGTGGCCACACCGGCAGAGCCTGAACACAAAGGGCCTGTGGAGGGAGACAAAGGGCCAGGGGCTGGGCCCCAGGAGGTCCTGGCGCCCGCTGGGAGCAGTTTCAGCTTTTTAAAAATGCAGAAAATAATTTTTTGTGTGTGTGAGGAAGATCAGCCCTGAGCTAACATCCATGCTAATCCTCTTTTTTTTTTTGCTGAGGAAGACCAGCTCTGAGCTAACATCTATTGCCAATCCTCCTCCTTTTTTCCCCCCAAAGCCCCAGTAGATAGTTGTATGTCATAGTTGCACATCCTTCTAGTTGCTGTATGTGGGACATGGCCTCAGCATGGCTGGAGAAGCGGTGCGTCGGTGCGCGCCTGGGATCCGAACCCGGGCTGCCAGCAGCGGAGCGCGCGCACTTAACCGCTAAGCCACTGGGCCGGCCTGGGAAAATAATTTTTTAAAAGCAAAATGACTTAGAAAATGGAGAAAGGACCTTGGAATAAGGTGTTCTGACCCGGACAGGGATATTTTCTATTTGTTCTTTGAACCACTTGGTGGTTCCCACTAAGAGGGGAGAAATGACACCATCAGCCATTTTCTCAGATAAGGAAACTGAGGCCCCAAGAGGGCGAGTCCTGTGCCCGAGGTTGCATGCGAGCAGTGGCGGAGCCGGAAACCTGCTGTGTGGTGTCCCGGGGCTGCTGTGAGGAACCCCCACAAACCGGCGCTTCACAAGACAAGAGCTGCTGCTCTCACGCTCCCGAGGCTCGAGGGAGGAGCCTGCCTGGCTTCTTCCAGTGTCTGGGGCCCCAGGTGTTCCTTGGCTTGTGGCCGCGTCACCCCAGTCCCTGCCTCTGTTTTCGCATGGCCTTCTCTTATCGAGACACCAGTTGGCGGACTGGTGGCCCTGAATCCATGATCTCATCTCAAAATCCTTACCTAATTTATAGCTGCAAGGACCCCATTTCTAAATAAGGTTACTCTCACAGGTACCAGGGATTAGAATGTGAACATATCATTTGGAGGGACATTACTATATCTGGTCTCAGAAGCTTTGTGAACTGGTATCTTAACCCAGAAAGTTGTTTCCCACCAGCTCGGCCGTCCCAGCCCCACCAGCAGGACCTCTGGCTTCCCCAGGGTGCTGGTCCACGTGCCAGGCACTTGCCTGAGCCGGGCCCTGCCCGGAGCCTCCGGAGCTGAGATGCAGCAGGCAGAGAGAGGGGCTGGTTTCCACCCAGGGGCCCCACCAACATGCTGTCCCCTCTTGCCAGGCCTCACACTCTCCGACCTGCCCGAGCAGTTCTCGCCGCCTGATGCGGCGCCCCCCATCCTGGTGAAGCTCGTGGAAGCCATTGAGCAGACAGGTGAGCCTCGGCCTGGCTGCAGCCTCTGGATTCTGCTTGCTTACCTCCGGTGATGGGCGACTCCTCCCGGCACAGGGCTGCGGGGCTCACTCTGCCGGGGAGGAGGCCGAGCCTGCATGCCCTGGGCCTCCAGGTTGAAGTGGGGGAAGGAGTGACTCCCAGGGGGCTGGGAATGTGGACCCCGACCCCACCACTGCATGCGCCGTGCCCTCTGCTCTCGTCTCTGGGAGGCTGAGAGATGAGAATCTCATCACCCCAGGCCCCCACGCGGTCGGCGCAGCATTTGAGAGCCGGTCTCGCCACCCTTCCCTTCCCCAGGGCTAGACGGCGAGTCCCTCTACAGGCCGGAGCCGCCCGCCCCGCGCGCAGGTGAGGGGAGCTTCCCGGGCGGGGGGGAGGCGGCGCCGGCCGGCTCACGCGCGTGTCCCCCGCACCGCAGACTGGTCCCTGAGCGACGTGGAGCAGTGGGACGCGGCCGCCCTGTCAGACGGCGTCAAGGGCTTCCTGCTGGCGCTGCCCGCGCCCCTCGTGACGCCCGAGGCGGCGGCCGAGGCGCACCGGGCCCTGCGGGGTGAGCGGCGCGGTGGTCCCGGCTGGGGCGGGG